GGCAGATTCACATGAAGGTCTTTCTTCCAAATGAGGTCACCTTATGAGCTTTCAGGTAGACTGGCTTTGTGGGATGGGGGGACACTGTCCAAGGTAAAAATTTCCAACTAAAGTAGCTCATATCAAAAGGCTTTGTCTATAACTGGTAAGGTTAAATGAGACCCTTCAGCTATCAGGCTCAGACAGATCCAGGGATTGACATGATGTCTTCGGGATTTCATCTCTATTTCTTAGTTCCTTGACCCTGTGCTCCACTGGCAGGAAACATGCTTCTCTCTAGCAATATGGTTAGAATCATCTTCAGTGCCTCAAGGCTACCATTGTCCCTACAATCAGACCCAGTAGAAAGAGGACTATACTTCTCTCTTGGTTCTCTAGGAAATCTCCAGCAGACTCTGTGGTTTGGGTATCAGGCTGGTTTTTTAACACAGGTTTGTGCAAGAAATAGAGTTATAATTGGTAAGACTTGTCTTGAGAGTTACAATGGGTAGGACTTGGTTCCACCAATGAAACCAAGATGAAGCCCACTGCACGGCAGGTTGGAGGGACAGTGCTGGGTATGCCAGCCCTCATGCACTCCAGGTGGAGGTACAAGTGAGGGCACTGCAGGCATTCTTACTGGACAGTGGCCAGTAGCTAAGCACACACTGTGTTTGTGTACAGGGGTCACAGTGTACATCCCAGGTGGCTTCAGCCCTCAGTCTATTAGACTCACATGATCCCCCTGCCTCAGCTTTGAAAGCTGCTGGAACTTGGTGCTTGCACCACCACACCCTGCACAAGCTTTTGTTATTATTATTTTTTAACAGCTCTGCTAGGCTCTATGTCAGAGGGATACAAAAGATAAAAGAGATTTAGGCTGTGGAAGGGCCACTTTTTACCAGAGAAAACTTCACAGAAACAGAAAATCAGATACCTGTGTGGTTAGCATAGTGGGAAGCAAAGCACAGGGAAATCCAGGCTTGAGGTGGCACAGTCCGGAAGCCTTATTAGAGGGCGCCATAGATCAAAGACCCGGTGTGGAAGCACAGTGACTCAGCCTAAAATGTTTTCTGGTTACAAATAATAGAAGACCCAAATCAAACAGTCCTGAAAAATGAAGTTAATTTATTTTCTTCTATTAATCAAACTTCAAAGGAAGGGTGGCTTGCTATAGAAGTTTATCATGCCTTCAGGGTGGGGTCCACAGGCTAGCTTGTTTCTTAGGTTGACTTCCTCGTGAAAATAAAATGGCTGCCACAGATGCAGACCTAACATCTGCATTACATGCTGTTCCGGTGACCCAGCCTTCACAGCAATAGTGGGGCTTCCTTCCCTCTGCTAGGCTGGCTCACGTCACCATAGCCAGGGAGATGGAGTGGTACACTGGCCATCGTGGCTTAGGTCACACCTCTGCCTTTGGAGCCAAGGGTGGCATGGGGTGATTGTCAGGATGCAGAGTGGCCTGGGCAGCTTGCCAAGACCTCCTGGCCAGCTCTGCTCATGAGCACTCACACAGCAGCCTCGGCTGAAGAAGCTCCTGGGTTTTCAGTGAGAAGACTTACAACCAGTTGGATGCAGAAGGAACCCAGCTTTTGGCAGAGGATGGAATACCAAAAGTCAGCTGCTTCCTCACGGAAGCAACGGCTTGCCGTGTTAATGCACCATGCCAAGGACCAGGGCAAGGCAAGAGTGTGGGGTGTAGAGGAGAAACTGGACACCTCGGAAAGTGCCGTGAAGAGTGCCTGCTGCACGCAGTCCCGTGCCCCTCAGGCAGGAGGACGTCAGGTAGCTGCCTGCCTCCTTCCCTTGAACCAGCCTTCCCTGCTTCTGCATGCCACACACAAGAGCTGCTTCCAGAAGGGGAGGAGACGGGCAATGGAAGACTAACTGCTCCCTGGGTTCCACATAGGATCAGTTTTTTCAATAATACTGTGTGAGTTTAACCTCAAAGTAAATGGTTAATTCATCTTATATCAACAGCACTGTGATTCATAATGTAAACTTGGAGAATTTTTGATGTTTCAGGCCCACATTCCTTTTAATTTGCCTCTGCATTCTTTTAAAGCCACAGTGTGCTCACTTGACAGAATGCAGCATGCAAATGCGCGGGTTCCTGCCTGGAGGCAGTTTAGCCTGGCTGGTTCAGTGGATGTCTTCTTTCAAGTGTGTACTCTTTCTTAAATTATTTACTGGGTAAACACACTTTGCATTTTCAAAAGGGACATTAAGACTGCTTGCTGCTGCCCTGCTGAAACATCAAGACCCCTTCCCCAGAGTTCAGAGCAAGTTACTTGGGGCTGCCCCTAAAGTTCTTTTCTGGCTTGCTTAGCAGAGTTCCTTGACCTGACTGGCTTTTCTGATTCCTCCCAACTCTTCAACTCTGCATTCATTTCTGTTGCCCAGAGCAATTGGGATTGGCCAGCAGCAATGGCCAGTGACTGTTCCCCAGGCTTCCTCACAGCTTGGGTCTGCAACTACCAGCCATTACATCCCCTTTCCCTGCTGGCTCCATCCTTTACACTCAGGTGGGTCATTTTCTGTGCCCAGAAAGATATTTGCTGAAGTCCTTCATAGTCCAAAGCTGGGTTGATGACCTGGCCAGTTGGGCTTACGCATAGCACCCTGTGTTCCACCTCTTTCTGTTCTTCTGCTCCCTTCTTCTAATTGTCTGGCAGCCCTTTCTGTAGGAGCCCCGATGTCTTCCACTGGCACACACTCAGGAGTCCTTCCTCTAGCTTCTGAGAGAAGAGCCAGGGCCGCTCGGAGAAGGCACTGTAGTGTGTAGCTTCACCTTTAGGGGCTCATTTCAACTTTCACTTTCATCCTTTTCTACCCTGATATTTTCCTGCAAATTGAATTAGCCCAGATTTCTCCTATGTTCCCCCTAGAATGGGACAATTGTAGTTCCCAGGAGCAACACTCTGTCATTACATTCCTTGGAGATTTAGTTCTCTGTCCTGCTCCCAAGTGCCCACCATTGCATGATGTCCCAGCTTTAAAGATGAATGCTACATGTTCCCTGAAAGATGGCTGCATCTAAGCAGCAGAGGGGTCGTCACGGGGACACAAGTTGGCATGGGTGCACGGGGAGGGGAAAGCTAAGAAGAGCAAGGATTTGGAGACTCGTGTGTGCTTATTACCATGTTCCAGATTAAACTAGTAACACCCATACCTAACCTTCCTGCATGTCTGTCTTGGATGCCTGGGGCCCTTGTCTCACAAGTGAAACAGTTGCCATTCATGCTGTATAAGAGCCACACTACCACAGGTTGAAGTTTTCTTGCTTTGAATCTATCTTACTGCTGAGACTCAGTTTTGCTGATTTCCTTTGTGAATCTGACATGGGTAACTGGTAAATAGAGATTTCAATGATGACTTCCAAAAACGGGACCATTCTGAAGACTGGCCTCCCTTCCAGAGAAAAGGAGAAAACCCAGCTTGAAAGGTAAAGGAGCCTAAGTAGGTCCCAGTCAGCATTCCTAATTAGCTTCCCTTTAATAAACTGAAATCCTGTTCTTATTTACTTATTGAGTGGGACAGAGAATCCTTCCTGCCTCCTGGGTAAATATGGCCTGTTAAGTCTGAGTTAGCTGTCATCACAGAAGAATTAATGTCAGGCACAGGCTTTCTAGTGGGACAAGAAGAAATAGACAGGACAGATCCTCACCAAGCCTCATGTGATAAATGAGGATGGAGCGCACCATTCATCTCCTATGAGAAAAACGGACATGAGCACTAAAGCAGTTTTGCGGAAGACGTGTTAGCAAATGGCGATCATTTTGTAACCTGTCAGGAAGAGAGGGAGCCCATCCTGTTAGGGGCCATGGGGGATCGGGCCGCTCTAATGGGATAGAATCCATCTACCCATGACGAAGGAAGGGTGGGTGGGTGGGAAGGATGCCACGAAAGCCACAACCTGACGTCATCCTCCATCTGGCTGCAGGGACCCTCTGAGGGTCCTCTGAAATGCAAAGAACCACTCCCTGCTCAAGTAGAGGCCTGACTCAGCCCCACATCCTCCTCCCTGTGGAAGACCCTGTCCAAGGTCCCTTGTGCACAGGAGGACACAGAACTCTGCATGTGCCTCTGGAATGGAGTTGCTGCAGGCTTGAAGCTGGTGGGCAGCCGGCTAGACAGCCAGCCTCTCTGCGTTTCTATTTCCGTGCGCTCAGTGAGAGCAGCGAGCGTGGGCGAGGCAGTTTGACCCAGGTTCCCTTTGAAAGACTCAACAAAGCATTGTGGTGTGCGACCTCTTTTCTCCGAATGAGGTAACAAATTATGAAATCACTTCAGCGGAAGCACGCTGCAGGCATCCAGAGAGGGTGTCTCCTGAGCTTGCCTTTCTGAGGCCAGCATCTGCAGGGACCAGCAGCCCCTACAGGGCCCACCCAGAGCAGCTTGCCAGGCACTTTGAGGACATTCAGTTTGCTCTCACTTCCATCTTTTTTGCACCAGGGAGCATACGTAACATTTCCTCCTGGCTTGACGAAGCCATGAGCCATACTGACAGGTGACGGCTTCACAACCCAGGCTGCAAGTTTGACACTTGCTTCTTAATCCCATCCTCTCCCTGCTAAGTCTCTCTCTTTCCCTGGGGTACTTTTGTTCAGGTAATACCTCACTGACACAGACTTTCTTGGAACCTTTTCCTTTCATAGGAACACTGAAAAAAAAAAAAAAAGTGAGGTTTGCCTCACATCGAAATTAGAAAGATGCTCACATGGGTCTTGATCATTTAGAGAACCTACATGGTACCCGGATCCTGGGGAGCCCTGATTCCCGTAGCTTTCTGGTTAGCATTCTCTGACTGCAAGCACTGCAGAGTTGTTCATAAAAAAATAAAAAAAATAAAAGCTGTGTGTATCTGTGTCTCTGTGAGTGTGTGTGTGTCTGTGTCTGTATGCACACATACATAATCTGCCTGTCGGACTGTGGTTTCTTTAGACACATTGGCTTGGGCAGTGTGTGTCAGAATTCTGATCATTTTTCCATGTGCATTTCTATTCTGTCTCCCACAGAATCATCCAAAACCGCATCCTGCTCGTTATCCTGGGGATCATCGTGGTCATCACCATCCTGACGGCCATCACGTTTTTTGTCAAAGGACACTGATGCATCTGCTCTCCCGTGATAAACAGTGATCTTGGCTTTGTCCTGAGTAATTAAGACAAAATGGTCACATGAATCATTCTTTGCATTGACAGGTCCCAGGTGGCCCTCTGTCTCTTCCTTACCACTGTTCAGCTAGAGTGCAGAGAGTGTACAGACATCTCTGATTCCTGTCTGCATGTGAGTTGGTTTCCTTTCTGAGGTTAGTCTTTGTCCAGATTTGTTGTTTTCTAAAGGTAAAGGTGAATGCTTACTTGCCTTTAGGTAACGTCATCTGCTGTCCAAAATAGCTTTGATAACATTCTTCCTTGTCTTGTGGGCATGCCTGGGGCCACAGTCTGAGAGAGGGCATAGCAAATCGGTCATGGGAGCTTCTGTGTATCACGCCCCTCTCTTTACCAAATAGTCTTTCTGTGATGTCCATGGATAAGATGCCAGCAAAGTCAGAGGCCAGAGCCAGTGTGCAGCTCCAGCAGGCCAGCCCCACCCTTCCCAGCCTAGAGAATGCTGCCATCCTGCCTATGCAACTTTAGGCACAGGAGTGGATTCACTGTCCCTATACGGGGAGCAGGCTTAGCATTCTCCCTGGTTTTTTTATTTCATATATATGTATGTGTGTGTATATTTTGCCCAGGAATTTTTTTTGTTGAAGCTGCTCAATGTCCACTTGTCCCAGCTTTGGTTACTGGCTACAAGAAATATTTCCTCAACTTCCCCAAATGCCGTGCACCCTGGAATTTGCTGGTAGCATGAGAACTGGCACAGTATTTAATTGTGACCTCATCTTCCCTGACCTGTGTAAGCACTTCTGTATCTTCTCCATTTTAGTATGAGCTCAGTCAGCAGCAGCCCTCATATATGCAAAGGGTCTGGGGCTCCCTCCATATCCTGCCTGTGGAAAAGCAGCATGAGCACTTTAGAGGATAGCAGGACTGCTCTGCTGCTGTGAAGTGTGCAATGTGGTGATAAAAACGGGAGAGTCCTATAGGTCAGTCCACTAGGGGGAAAACAAAACGAAACAAAAGATGGCGGGAAGTGCCCACTAACCCCCTTTCTGAGAATGAGAGATTGCAGCGTGCTACAAAAGAGCCACGCGCGTTTTTACTAAAACTATTAGCACTGCCTCGGCTCTCCATGCATTCAAACTCTGTCACACCTTGTGATTTTCTTCCCTTTCCTTCTGTCTGAGGTGACTAGGAATTATGTTCAAAATGAGTTCATTTGTGATCGGGCTTAAAAGTTTCCCAAGCTGAGGTCATTTCCTCTCTAGTCATGTTACAAATGTGTTTTTCTTAAGACTTCATAGTCACTTATATGTCTGTACTATCTTTCTAAATATAATTGGAAGCATTGAATTCTTGAAAAGCAAATCTGTTCTCTTCATAAAAAATGCTGAGCACCTGTGCTCATGGAGTAAGAGCATGCTGCATTTGATTCCCCACCACACACACACACACACACACACACACACACACACACACACACACACTCACACTCATTCAGAAGAGAACCATTATAAAGTAGAGAAGAAATTGCAAATTCCACCAGAAGAATTGTGCCTGTGGAAAAAGGCCAGGGCCTGTATGTTTTCAGATAAATCATTTATCATTATGTGTAAATAAAGGTGTAGTCTCTGTGTTGGAAGGATGGCATGGGATTTTGGCCAAACAAAGTAGGACAGCAAAGGAGATGGGCTGGAAGCTACACTAACTTTCCTGTCAGCTAAAGGGACCGGCGTGGAGATTGCTCTCTGCTCAGCGAGAGCTTTTTATTCTGATAACTGAATTCTGGACATCCTAAACTTATGGGGGAAAAGTTAAAAGCAAGAAGGCAACCTCAGCCTGCACCGCTGCTGCTAGTGAAATAGACCATGGCCTCTGGTGGCTCCTTGGAAATTACAGTTCCTCGTTACGGTGCACCTGTGTTCAAAGCTGTGTCTCAAACCTTCCTCCATCCTCCACACAGCTCCTTCTCAAGCCCCTCAGCAAGCCAGGTGGAGCTGAGTGCTGTCCCCTGCTGGCCCTAGGTCTTTCCCTGAAGCCTCTGTGCTGGCTGAAGCAGGTGGAGTGAGGAGAAAGGAGAGCACTTGCTCCTCACTGCTCGGGGCTTTCTCTGCTGAGTCCTCTTGTGGCTACTGCTAGTGATTGTGGCCCAGCTCAACCTTGGGAGGAGCAGTCTGTGAACAGGTAGCCTTTGACCTAGCCGTTCCATTGCATCCCCTGGCGAGTGGCCACCTCCCTCAGGCCAGGCCCAGGGGACGTGGACACTGGTCTGAGAGTCCTGACCACCCTCTGGCCTCCTGATGCCAGGGGAGAACATGGAGGAGCCCTGAGCCCCCAGGGAAGGAAGAGTCCACAAACCTGAAGCGGGTGTCTGTGTGGAAGGTCCTGGGTTCAGATTATGTGGGCTTTAGTTGTTGACTGCTTCTGAAGTGGGAAGCCTTTGTTTAAAAGTATGTGGGAGTGGGGGAAGGATGAGGTGACAACATGGAGGAGGAAGAAGAGGAGGAAGCCCGCGCCATATAAAATTCATGCAGACTAAACAGTTTCTCTGACACTATAAATAAAGTGGATGCAACCCCGGCTCCAGAATCAAACGCAATTTAATTAGAGTCTCTTAAGTTGTAAAGAGTTTTTAAATGTTCCATGTTGAAGGCGGATGCCTGCAGATGCAGTGGGCCTGACGTCAGCGGCCAGGCCTGGGCTGCCAGGCCATTTGCTATTCTGTTTCAGGCACGCTGGATTGTCTTATTTTGGAACCCGCTTGGTGGGGGGTTTGCTTTGCTACTGCTTCTGAGCCCTGAGCTTCAAAGGCTGAAATTAATGGCGAACAAAATTGTGCGGCTCTGGCCGTCCCATGCGGGGCAAGCCCATTGAGGGTTATCATTAAGTAAAGAAATAAAGAGGGGGAAAAAGCCTGCCTGCTCCAAAAACCTCATCAGATAATGACCTTAGTGATTGGGTTTTCATTACCAAACAGCATCCAGAGATTACCAACTCATGGAGAAGGGAGGAGGGAAAGAAAGGAAGACGATACAACCTGTCTCCCTCCCTCTCTATCTCTTTTTTTCTTTTTTTTTCTTTCTTTCTTTCTTTCTTTTTTTTTTTTTTTTTTTGCACATCTTTTCTTTAAAACTGTCAGATCATTTCAGTATTTCAAATCCGAGGAAAACAGCCTGCCTGCTGCTGTATTTGAAGTTGTAATGGTGTCAAAAAGTCACGACTGACTGACAGCCGTCAGTCCCAGAGGGGCTCATTAAATCATAAAAACTTGACAAGGAAATAATTGCGCATGGCCAGCGACTTGGCGCCTGTTTAGACGGTTTTATTGTCTTTCATTATCAGTCCCCACCATTACGTTCATTAACAAATTGCATTAAACAACTGTTAAGGGCTAATGATTTGTTTATCGCGTTTTTATTATTATTATTTAAACATTAGCTGTGTCATGTGGTACCCCGGAAGCCTCTTGCCATCGTCTGACTGAATATTTTTCCACTCCGAGCCCTGGGTACTGTTGGAATATGGAATAGATTATTCATTACTCTCCTCTTTGCCACTGATTTGGTTTCATGTAGTGTCTTCCACAGAGAAAGATGAAAACTTGTCAAAAATAGGTTATATCTTATTCGAAGGGGCAACAATAGCAGCAGGTACAGGCACACTTTAATATTTAATTAAGGGTGATGTTAACCCCTTTCAATGACTTCAGGTCTAAGTTACATTTAAATGCGGAAGAGAAAAATAATTGTTCTTAATTTGCAACCTGTTCAGCAGGCATTCTTCAGCAGACTTACTGGAAATTTAGAGGGGAATTTTTAAATAATAACATTTCCCATCATAAATATTTATAGTAGTTTGTCTACGTAGCTGAGAATTAGGTGCAAGTGACGATTTCCTCATCGCTTCAGTGTGAACTGCTTAGCCTCTCTGGGGCCTCTGTGCTTAGGAATAGAGGTGCCAAATGGTGTCTGGAGGAGTAACAGCCAGGGACTGTAGGTTGGTTGTGGCCCATACTGCTTTCAAAGGAATGCTGAGTCCCCAGCCCAGGGGCCACTTGCCTTCCCCTTCAGCGGAGCGGAGCGTGTGGTTGGGAGACCTGGCTGCAGTGAGGGCAAGCAGGGAAGGCTTAAAGACAGCTGGGTGAGCCTGGACCGCTGGCACAGGAAGGCGTGCTGGGGGGGTCTCGGGCCTCTGTGCAGTCAGTTGGAGCTCATTACAACCACACTTCCCTAATGGGCACAGGAGCAGCCCCGTGCAAGGATTGACCCTTCTCCTTTCTGGGGCTTGCCGTTGGTGAATTGATCGGCTTTTCCATGGCTGTAACCTCAAGGGGCCGAGAGAACAAAGGCCCCTAGCATGGTCAGGAGTGGGTGGATTCCTCTGCCATATATAGCCCCTCGTTGTGTCTGCTCACCAGTTTGCTTGTACATGTAATGCTGGCAGCCACAGCCCTCAGAGCTGTGGTGCGAGAGTACCCTTTCTCCACCCTGTTCCAAGTCCTCCTCTCCAATCCGTTAGATTGTGAGTCTGAGTGGAAGAGGTTGTATGTTCCTCGCTTGGTGCTCTAGGTCTTATGTAGCGTCACCCTCCAAGGCCAGCTGGTCCTGCAGGAGTCATGTGCCGGCCAAGCAGGCGTCAGACCTCCCGTCAAGTCTCCTTGACCCCTGTGGATGTAGGTCTGGAGGGCCTCCAGGCTCTAGTCCATATTAGTCCCATGACAAGTCACCTCTCTTAGAGTGACCTCCACACCTTGGCAGGAGACATGCTAGAACCATTTTCCCAGAGGGAAGGAGGATTGTATGGTGAGCCACCCCAGTGAAAAGGCACTGTCTGAGAAGCTAGTCCATCCTGACCTCACCCTGTGCTGTGACCTCTGACTTTAACATGACCCCAGACTTGAATACTCTTGTTTCTGTCCCTTGCCTGTGATACTTCAGGCCCTGCCCACTGACATTTGCCAGGCTGTCCACAAAATGTGATCCATGGGCCAAGGTGATAGGTGAACAGATCCGTAAAGGTCTTGAAGCAAATAGGCACTGCACCAAGATGGTTGACACCAAGAGGCCCGGAGCATGCAGCCCACAGAGAACATGAGTGTGAGACTGGAGCCAGGAGACGCAGCCTGGCCAGACCTCTCCCTTAGGATTCCAGTCAGGGCCAGCATACCACAGGCAAGTGGCAGAAACAACATGAGTGGGGATCTGGGAGCAAAGGGCTAGACAGTGAACTGAGAGGTCTAGCAGGAGCTGGGGGAGCGGGCTCATCCCAGGCGAGAGCAAGAGAGATGGGTTCCAGCAAGTAGCACCCTGAGCCCATCTGTGCTTCCTCAAGAGGAGCCAGTTAGGAGACGACAGGGACCCGTCTGGGTCACCTGTGCCATCTTCATCCTCCCTGGCTCCGGGCTCACGTGGGAAGCATGTCTCCTCTTGTGATTCACCTCTTTATCCAAGCTAGAGAAATAAGGAGGGTGTCCAGCCAGGGGAACCAGCTACAGGCAGAGCACAGGCTTGAGCCTGCCAACTCCCACCCCTCCTTCCCTTCATCCAGACAAGGCCCTTTGGCATGAATAATAGCTGGGGGAGTCCGGGGATGAGCAGAGCTGCCTCTCCTCCAGTATTGATCTGCGGCCTGTGCGTCCACCGAGGGCTGCCTGGGCTTTTCCTGCGGGCAGGCCCTCCCTGGGCCTCACTGCAGCCTCACTCCTCCCCAGGCCGCCCCCAGGTGTGTTCAGAGGAGGCCGAGCCAGCCAGGAAGGTGGGGCTGAGGGGGCCAGGCACTGTCCACAGCTCAGCACGACTTCCGTGCCCCAAAGTTTCTGTTTCCAACTTATTTTGCCACAGTGCACTTGTTAGTGAGAAGACGTTTGTGTTTGTTTGTTCATGGTGAACCCCACGGTGGGGAATGAATACCTCCTCAGGCCCTGGCTTCTCTCCACAAGGCACTGCCAAGGGCCCAGATCATAGAGGCACCCTCAGCCGAAGGCCAGGTGTTGGACTGAGCACCTGGCATACCTTGGTGTGTGTCCCTGGTGAGCCTCTCTGCCTTCCCCTGCCCTGGTTACACCTCTCCTCGATACGGAGTCCCAAGACTTTTGCCCCTTGAGGGACACACTACTATGAGGTCAGCCATTACGGGAGCACCCTGAAATCCCACCACTGCACTCCTTTGGCTTCTGGCTAGGCAAATACAGATTCGGCCTCCCTGGCTGGCCTCAGTTGCACCAGCCGCCATCAGTTGTCTGTGCCTCTTTGGGGCCCCATTTTGGGTGCTAACCAGGTGAGGTATGTAAGGGAGCATGCGGCAGCCCTGACCTGCACCCTGGGCCAGGTTACCAGGAAGACGTGGAATCTGAG